AATTGTCCCATAGGGTTTCCAAGGCTGTAATCTTTATGGAAGTAGACTGCCACATCTTTCTCTCATGGAGTGGCTGGTATATTTGAACCGCTGACCTTTTCAGATAGCAGCTGATCACTTAACCACTGTACCTCCAGGGCTCCTTCTATTAAGAAGAAGTGAAATATTAATAGTTTGCAACATAAGGGGCAGGAAAAAGAACAAGAGTTCCTTCAAGGAGGAAACATCACAGGGAAAAAGTTTTGCATTGATTTAAAAAAATATATAGGGTATTTGGGTATCTCTAGGAGGTAATTCAGGATACATAGGACTTGGGGATTTCTAGAGACTTCCGAGAGGACAAATGACATAATTACTAAGAAAGAAGGAGGCAGGGTGTGGTGGGGATACATGCGTGGGAGCTGGAGGAAATGCACTCCAGGCTGGTTTTGTCACTCTCACTCCGTGCGTGGCTGGCCGTGGGCAAATCACCTTACTTGGTCAGCCTCACCTTCCTCACCTGTGAAACAAAGGGGTGGGACAGGGAGAGATAAGCTCCGAGACCTTGTCCTGCCGTGCTGTCTATGATTTGATGAAATATTGGAAAAAAACAGGTCACCTTAAAAATAAATGCTTAAAAGTGCTTCAGTGTTAGTGCTTACATTTCCCATATTAAAGTAAAAATAATTTAAAAACTTTTGTATGACTGAGAGATGGAGTGTTTTCCATGTTGGAGCCGTTTTCATCAAAACATGAAAAGAAGTTCTCTCTATAACAAGGTGATAGATGATAAGATTTGCATCAATTTTCACACATATGTCATTAAACATGATTTTACTGGACAGCAAGTTCTCATTCCTCCTCTCATACTCTCTCTTATAGCCTGTTCTGATGCATGGTGGTCTGTGTAGGAGTGTGATGCTTTCTGGGTCAATACTGCTGACACTGTGGGCGTTTGTTTAAGTGCTCTGATTGTCTGACAACACGGTGAGCTAGAAATGGGCTGTGCCAGAGTCAATCCTGAGCTGCTGCAGACCAGATTAGCATTATAGTATATCTGGTCACTTGGGAACATTCCTGGGTGGTGCAAACAGTTTGCTCTTACCTACTAACTGAAAGGCAGGTGGTTCAAACCCACCCAAAGGTGCTGCAGGAAAGGCCTGGCAAATCTGCTTTGTTTTTTGGAAAGAAAACCCTCTGGAGCTGTTTTTATCATGGGTTCACCATAAGTCAGAATCAACTTGATGGCAACAGATTTTGTTTTTTAGGTCACTTGGGACTAACCCCTGGAGCAACCAATCAGATTTGCCATATGGTATTTGATTGATTATTTAACTGGTGGTTGCTGGCTACCACAATTCCCACTTGCAGATCCTTTCTGAGATCTGTTTAAGCAGCAAATTGTGTAGAGAGCTCAGATATTAGCAGCTGCATGGCCTTCTCCCCTGGCAGGAGAATTTCTGAGAAACGAGCCATTTGGCACCTACACATGAAAGCAAGCCTGCTTGGGCTCATTCTCTGGGTGCTCCATGCAAAGGAAGGGGACCCAGTGCCAGGCAGGGTCTGCCTGGTGGGAAGCCTCTCACATGTGAAGTGTGTGAAAATTGATGTACACGTTCCAACAGGGACCTGGATCTAAGCCTTGCATTGCAGCACAGTGTTAATTATATTGTGAAATTAACTGCACTAAAAGCCACAAATAACCTTTTATTCACAGAGTCATTTAGGCTAAATGCATCTCAAATGCTGTAATGAATGGATAATGCTTCATTTGAGCAAATGGTAAGAAGAATATTTCCCTACCCTTTGATCCACTTGTAGGATCCACTTCTCCATTTCTGGGGTCAAATTCCCTCAGCGGCACTTTTTGTAAAACGTGGGTTACCCACAGCCTCCACTGTCTGGACACCATGAGATAAGAAGAACTAGATGGTGCCTGGCAACTGCTGAGTACTCTGATCAGGATCACAATAGAAAATTTTGGACAGGGGGAGAAAGAAAAATAAAGAACAAAATCCAAAAACATAAAAAAAAAAAAAGACCAGACTTACTGTTCTGATAGAGACTAGTGGAACCCCTGAGACTGCAGCCCTTAGATGCCCTTCAAGCCTGGAATGGAACCCACTCTCAGGGATCAACTTTCAGCCAAACTATAGACAGACTTACTCACTTTAAAGTGAGTAATAACACCAGGGAGGAAGGTAATACTTAATGCATTCAACCATACACGACCAAAAGGGTCTTGTGTTTTCCCAAAAATGAAGCTCAGAAGGCAGGAAGGGGCAGGAAAGACGGACGAATGGGGAGCCCAGGGAGGAAGGGGGGCAATGCTGTAACGTTGATGGGATTGCAGCCAATACCACAGGACAAAAGGAGGATGAAGTGTTGGATGGAAAACTTATTTGCTCTTTAGACTTTCACTCAAACTACCAATAAATCAATAAATAATAATAAAAAAATGTGGGTTATAGCTACCAGAACTGACCACATTAGAATGAAAATGGAAAGAAAATATAGAAGTACTTACTTGCAAATTCATTTTAAAAAATAATGCAACCCTTACATTCTAACACGAATAACATATTTTTACGAAAAATAAGCGGTATTCTACAGTACGAAAACATAGTGAGAGGTATGGCATCATTTTGTATCTCTGCAAATCCCTTGACTATTTGGTGTCACAAAGACAGGGCAAGGGGCCTCTGGAAAGCCCCACGGTATGTTTGTGAGAGAGTCAGAGTGAAAAAGACAAAAAAAAATCTTAGAATTATTATGAAAATAGTTTTGAGCCTTCTGAAAGGGCCCTAGGGACGGCCGGGAGTCCATGGAGCACACTTTGGGAACCTCTGCTTTAGAAGAGAAACTAAGACATATATGACCAGATGACCACTCACTGCAATGCCCACTTTAACTGGTGACATAGGATCAATTCCAACTCATGGCAACCCCAGGTATTACAGGGAAAGCTGCTCCAGAGGGTTTTCTTGGCTGTAATCTTTATGAAACTGGTCTCTAGACCTTTTTTTCCTGTGGTACCTTTGCATGAGTTCAAACCACCAACCTTCAGGTTAGTGAAAAAACCAAACAAAACCCACTGCCATGGAGTCTATTCTGACTCATAGTAACCCTTTAGGGCAGAGTAGAACTGCTCCATAGAGTTTCCAAGGCTGTAAGTCTTCAAGGAAGCAGACTACTTCCTCTTCCTCCCTAGTAGTGGCCGGTGGATTTAAACCACCGACCTTTTGGTTAGCAGACCAATGCTTTAACCACAGTGCCACCAGAGCTCATATTAGAAGTCGAGTACACACTATATGTACCACTCACAGATCTTTACCAGGATCCACATTTTTTAGCTAAAGCTAGCCTCTCTCGTCTTTAATTTCCATTTTACTTGCTACCCCAAATTTATGCTCTATGTGCTGTGGGCAGCCCTGCATTGTAGTTATTCATCTACATATCTTCCCAAAGAGATTGCAAACTCTGGGAAGCAGGTGTAGGATGATCTTCACCACACTTTGTATCACATCTTGCACATACTAGGTCTGTACAGGAACAAAAATAAGACCAGCTGTCACTTACTCAACATTGCCATGGGCCAGGCACCCCACTAAGGCATTACTTACTAAATATTACCTCAAGCCCCACAGAATTGCAGTGATTTGATTGTTTTTGATCTACAAAAATTTCAGTGTTGTATTACTTAACTAGGAGCTCTGGTGGTGTAGTGCCTAAGGCATTTGATGCTAACCAGAAGGCTGGTGGTTCAAACTCACCAGTCACTCCTCGGAAGGAAGACTGGGCAATCTACTTCCATAGAGATACTGCCTCGGAAACCCAAGGAGGGGTCTTTATGAGTTGGGATCGACTCGACGGCAGTGGGTTTTGTTTTGTTTTTATTTTGACTTAACCTAAAACCTAATAGAAACAACATTGTTAGATGAAGTCAGCTGGTTTTGATCAGTGCTGTCTACTGTTCACTCTGGCCACTGGGCTCCTGACAGTGGCGGTGGTGGCTGAGTTGGCCGACTTTGGGGATTCCAGGTCAGCTTGCACAGAGGCCCTGTGTGCTGGACCTTTCAGGCCTTGGGGCATTTGGCCAGAGGTATCTCTGCAACTGGCTTTCTTCCTGTGTTCACATCAAGTTCATTCCTTTCTTCTACTCAAGGAAGGGAACCTTTTGCTTGAGGGGTTCCTGGGTGGCACAAATGGTTAGGCCCTCAACTGCTAGCTGGAAGACTGGAAGTTTGAAACCACCCGAGGCATCTTGGAAGACAGGCCTGACTCTCAGCTTCAGAAAGGTGACAGCCTTGAAAACCCTGTGGAGCAGTTCTTCTCTGCACACATGGGGTCATCACGAGTCAAATGGACTCAATGGCAACTAACAACAACAACAGCAACAACTGTTACCCAAAAATGTGGGCCTGTGGCTGGAATGACACAGACTCAACTCAGTCACACTGAGAGAAGAACGTTTAATCACTTACGTGTAAGTGGGGAATGGACAGAGTTTCAGAATACTCTGGAAGCCCGCCCACCCCAGTGGGTAACTACAGGGTAAATGCAGGTTGAGCTAAAGCTTATGATCATGTGGACACATTCCATTCCCAAGGACCAGGGCTCTTTAACTCATGAGAAGGACAAAGAAAGATGCTAAGTTGTGAGTACACTACCTCTTAGTGATGGAGGGCATCAACACCAGGTGGGTCGGTTGTTCTCAAGGCTGACCTCCGTGAATATCTCAAGCTGCATTCTTGGTGTCTTTGGGTTTTGTGCCTCTAGGTCCCAGTGCTCGTTCTCACATTGGGTCATCACATCCCCATCCCCATAGGAAGGCTCATGGGCTAAGAAACTACCTTGGGAGATCTCTCCTATACACTCCAGAACTCGGAGAGCAGGAGAGGAATCACAGGAGAATTGAAAGGTCCACTGCGTGGTCGGAATAGAATTTCCTTATGTTGGCTGAATGCAGTTCAGAACATTTACGGATTTTTAAGAACGAACCTGTCCCATGTCTTTGGTTCCAGGCCCACAATGGATGCCCTGAGACTGGCAAATTCTGCTTTTGCAGTTGATCTGTTCAAACAGCTGTGTGAAAAGGAGGCAACAGGCAATGTCCTCTTTTCTCCAATCTGTCTCTCTACCTCCCTGTCACTTGCTCAAGTAGGTGCCAAAGGTGACACAGCAGATGAAATTGGCCAGGTAAGATCCAGACCTTTTTCTGCTCTCAGTGGGAAAACAGTTATGAGAACACTCAGGCAGTGACCAGGGGAATGTTAGTGGGGATGCTGTGGTCAGAATCATTCAGGATTTAGGGGTGTCACTCGCTTATTCTGAGCTTAAATGCAAACACTCATTTATCTGTCCAGCAAACCATATTTAGAACAGGCTCCATGTTATGATGGAGAGCCTGAGGGTTTGCAAGGTAATCAGTCTTTCCACTAAGGAGGGGCCTTGAGCAAGTCAATCAACATCTTTCTCATCACATTTTGAGGATCAGTCTGAGACAGCCTTTATTAAAGGTTGCACTGCAAACACCCCCAGCAGAAAAAGAGTGTAAACCTACATCCCCTCTTATGCTGCAACACAGGGCAAAACCATTGAGCTTATGCACACCATTATTGAAAGTATCATGTTTTATTTTTAAGATGCAAGCTCAATAAGATTCTACCCTATGACACATCCATGCTTATTTTAATATGGAAATAAAGTTTTAAATGATTTACCTTCAAGTCACGGAGATGAATAAGAACATGGACTGTGTTCACTTATGGTTTGGAACACTTTGTGGGGCTTGAGTATCCCATGTGAGAAGCCGAAACTAAGAGGATGCATATTAAAACATTTTGAAAGTGGTACATGAAATAGAATTTATCTGTCATCTCTCTCTCTCTCTCTCTCCTCCTTCCCTGCACCCAGCCATCCACCCACCTACCCATCCATCAATCCATCCATCCATCAATCCATCCATCCATCATCTATCTATTTATCTATCATCTATCTATCTATCTATCTATCTATCTATCTATCTATCTTTATAGTTTCTTTTGGGCTTTCTATGTATCCTTGCATGGTAAAGTAGCTTTGTAAAGTTAATAGACCTTTAAGCAGGACACTTTTCCAGACAGTTACATTTTAAGCCCGCACCTGCCTTTTGATAGTAGGTAAATGCTCTTCCAATTTCATCCTATTATCATTCTCATGTCGATCATTCAACAGAATCTCTCTTTCCATGAGCTCATAAGCATTTCAACAGGAAACTTCTCCTAGTATCTTTAAGTCTCCAGGGAGTATGACTCAGGAAACGCTATTTGGGTCAAGATAAAGAAGTTATACATGAAACTGAGGGAGAACTGGAGAAGGAGTTTATGCCCTTCACCAAAGTGCAGATGATGCTCTATGGGTAACGGATTTCTTCTCTTAACAGGTCCTACATTTTGAAAATGTCAAAGATGTGCCCTTTGGATTTCAAACAGTCACATCGGATGTGAACAAACTCAGTTCTTTTTACTCATTGAAACTCATCAAACGGCTCTATGTAGACAAATCTCTGAATCCTTGCACAGTAAGTCATTCACAGCTGTTAACGAGATTTAACTTTTGACCAAGGATGGAATGTTCATGTCACTGAGCCTTTAACTTTTTTTTAGTGAAATTCATTTCTAGGCTGCTCATTGATGATTTCAGGCTTATTAAAATTAATCTGTCCTAATGAAGAAGGTGAGTGTAGAGGGTATTAGTTGCAGCTGTCTTCTAGCTTGTCGTTGTTGTTGTTATGTGCCGTCGAGTCAGACCTGACTCATAGCGACCCCTCCTTGGGTTTCCGAGGCAGTATCACTACGGATAGTAGATTGCCCCTTCTTCCTTCCGAGGAGTGGTTGGTGGGTTTGAACCTCCAGCCTTCTAAGCCTTAGTTGCTCTAATGAAATTCAGGGAGCCCTGTGTTTAAGTGTGATGCAATGTGACATTTAATTGAGCTATACTTTAGTTGGGAGCTCTGGTAGCATAGTGCCTAAGGCACTTGACTGCTAACCAGAAGGCTGGCGGTTCATACCCACCAGCCACTCCTCGAAAGGAAGGTTGGGCAATCTACTTCTGTAGTGATATTGCCTTGGAAACCCAAGGAGGGGTCACTATGAGTCGGGTCCGACTCAGCAGCACATAACAATAACAACATACTTTAGTTGGAGCCCCGATGGCGCAGTGTTTAAGTACTTGGCTGCAGACCAAAAGGTTGGCAGTTGGAACCCACCACTGCTCCATGGGAGAAGGATGTGGCAGTTTGCTTCTGTAAAGATTACAGCCTAGTGTTCTGAGGAAACCCTATGGGGCAGTTCGCCTCTGTCCCACAGGGTTGCTATGAGTTGTAATTGACTTGATGGCAACGGGCTTCAGGCATGCTTTATATTGATTTCAGTTCCCTACAACATTTTGAATTTTTTTCAATTAAACTGGGTGTTCAAGGATTCATTTTGCTAAATAATATTTTACTGTGTTTTTAGTGAAGTTTCACACGGCAATTTGGATTGACATTCAGCAACTTCTATACAAGTTGCTCAGAGGCATTATGTACATTCTTCATCATGTTTGCATTCTGGTTGTTCTGTTTCCATCCATCTAGTTTCCCTGGCCCTTTACATTCTCATCTTTGTTTTAAAGTAATTGGTGACTCTCAGTTCTCATATAGGTGATCTTTTAAAGGAGCACAGTACTTACAGGTGATAGTCATTGTTTTTTGAGATAGTTTATTATTTAGCTACAAGGTGACCTCAGAAGTTATTTTCAGTTCAAGGTTTGAATTGTAACTCAGGGCAAAAGTCTTGCGGAGTCCTCCAGTCCCAGCCAGTCCTGTAGGTCTGGTTTTATGTTTTACAAATTTGAAGTTCTGTTCCACATTTTTCTACCTTTCTATCAGGGCCCATCTACTGTGGCCATGATTACAATGGTTGGCAGTTGTAGCTGGGCACCATCTAGTTCTTCTGGTTGCAGGGTAGATGAGGTTATGATTCATGTGGACTATTTATCCTGTTGGAGAATTATTATTATTATTTTTAAAAGAACACCTTTAATTGTTCCTGTTGGTTGTATAACATGTTCAGATTGGCTACTATAGTACAGACAAGTGTGATTTGAGCACCACTCACATCAGAACTACCAGAGTGTTTGCTAAAGTGCAAATTCTTGGCCTCAGATTCCTTCAATCAACACCAACGGTCATGGGGTCAATGGTTCTACATTTTCAACAAGCATTAACGTTAGACCTGCTGCTACATTGTCCATAATGCTGTGTTTCAAACTTTAACATGCAGAAGAGTCATCTGGGAATCTTGTTAAAATGCAGATTCAATTCATCAGGTCTGGGGCGGAGTCTGAGGCTCCTGGTCCTTGGTCCATGCTTTGAGTAGCAAGGATCTATAGACAACGGAATGATTTCAGTGAGGATAAGAGTGCTCTGATCAGTCTGTGCATTTTCTCTCCTCTAAGATAAGCCTTTTTTTTTACACTTTAATGTTTCTGAAATTGGAATTTATATTATAAATATAGCATGTTCTTCTTGTTGGGTGCTGCTAAGAAGATTCTGACTCATAGCAACCCATGTGACAGGGTAGAACTGCCCCATAGGGTTTTCTTTCTTTCTTTTTATTGTGATTTGGGTGAAAGTTTTCAGAGCAAATTCACTTTCCATGCAGCAGTTCACATACACTTTCTCTCATGACATTGACTACAATTTACCCCAATGCAACAGCTCCCCTCCCACTTCCTCCTGATAGTTACCTCTTCCCCGTGTCCATCCCTCTATGCACTCCTGCCCCCTGAGCTGTCTCCCTGCGCATAAACAGCCCTTGTTTCTCCCATGATTCTTCTCTTCAAGGAGTGTATCTACTTCAGGTAAATGTTCAGCTCACATGCCTGTCTTTTGCTTGGCTGGAAGCCACAGGTGTGGGTTCAATTCCAGACCTGAAGGGCAGCTAGGGGCCATAGTCTCAGGGGTTCCACCAGGCTCCATAGGGTTTTCTTGGCTGCTGTAATCTTTATGGAAGCAGATCACCAGCTTTTTCTCTCATGGAGCTTGGAGCTGCTGGGTGAATTTCAACTACCAGCCTTTCAGTTAATGGTGTAATGTTTCTTTTTCTCTTTTTTCCCCTAATCTGATACAGAATTTATGGATGCATTGAATAAGTTGTGTTGTCTTATGATTGAATAAATGAAACATTTAATACAAAGAAACCCCATCATCTCTGAGTTTCAATTCATGTAGTTGAAGTCTTTTGTGATTTATGAACTGGATGTTTTTCAGGAGTTCATCAGTTCAACGAAGAGACCCTATGCAAATGAGATGGAAACTGTTGACTTCAAAGATAAAATGGAAGAAACAAAGGGTCAAATCAACACATCAATTAAGGAACTCACAGATGGCAAGTACCTTTACTTATTCTGCTCCAAACTGCTGAGTAAACGGTCCTGCCTTTTCATGCATCCATCAGCCAAGCATAAAAGAATTGAACATCTGGAACATTCCTTGGGTGTTTTTAATGCTTGCCTATCCAGCCATCCCAACAACTTGGGTTTCTGGGCATTTCTTGCATCATCTCATCACTTGGCAGAAATCCCTGGTGCTTCGATGTCAATCTGCCTCGCCTTGTTCTCAGATGTACTCTCATGTGACCTTAGGGAGCTTCCAGTAAAGTGGGGCTTTGGGCAAGTCACCAACATCACTAGGCCAGTTTTCCAATCTGGAAAGGGATTGGACTATCACTTGATCCCTGAGGCTGCTTCTAGGTCTAAAATTCTGTGAATTCATGAAAGATAAAATGTTTGAGGGATCTTTGTGTTTGGGGTTTGACTATACAGTACAGGCAGTCTCCAGCTTATGAACGAGATCCATTCCTAAGTGTGTCTTAAGTTGAATTTGTAAGTGAATTGGAGCAGCTCATATGATTCTTATCCAGAAAGGACCTCTGGTGATACTGTGGTTAAAAGGCATTTGGCTGCTAACCAAAAGGTCGGTGGTTTGAACCTGCCAACTACTCTGCAGGAGAAAGATGAGGTAGTCTGCTTCTGTAAAGATTTACAGTTTTGGAAGCCTTATGGGGCAGTTTTACTCTGTCCTATAGGGTCACTATGAGTTGGAATTGACTCGATGGCAGTGAGTTTTGGGGGTTTAATGCAAGAAATGGCTTGCAGCCTTTTCAATGATTTAAAAGCTGCGCTTGCAGCAAGCGAAGGTGACTGTGACTAAGAATTTGTTGTGAGTAGGGATTGGTTCAATCTTTTCACAGTGAGGCAAATTTTCATGACATTGAAGGGCAAGGACGAGTTGTCTGTAGTCAGACATTTGTGACCCAGGACTGCCTGTAATTACAGTTGTGATTGAGTCCTGAGCCCCACGGTGATCCTGGCGTACCTTGAGGCAAACAGCCTGTCTGCAGCAGGTGTGTGGGGAGGAGGAGCGCAGTGGCTGGTGGGTAGAACCCTGTCTGGGACTCAGACATGCTTTCCAGTTGTATGAACTGGAGGTCGCTTGGCCTCTCTGAGCCTCAATTTCCTTAACTTTGAAATAAGGTAGTGATCTTTTCCTCACGTGGAAGTGCTAAGCTCAGTGCCAGGTGCACAGCAAGCTCTCAGGCATTTTCTGTGAGCATAGAATTTGGAGACACAAAGACCTGGCTTTTAATTCTGAATCCACCCTTGCTCATATGACTTCCAAGTCTAAACTTCCTCATCTGTAAAGTGGGGAGAAATATCTGATACCAAGTACATGAAATGCCTAGCACACAGCCTGATTCAGAATAGGCATTTGAAAATGGCAGCTTGAGTTTTTCTTCTTCCTTCCCCTTTGGTCTCCACCCCAGGTCTCTTTGTAAGTCTGGTCTGTCAAGGTGTAAGGATAGAGAGGAGTTCTTTTGACTGTAGATGGTCTTGGGCTAAGTGTAAGGTCTCTAGTGCTGCAGTTTGCCTTGACTATAAGCTCTGGTAGCTTAGTGCCTAAGACACTTGACTGCTAACCAGAAGGCTGGCAGTTCAAACCCACCAGCCACTCCTTGGAAGGAAGATGGGGCAATCTACTTGTGTAGTGATACTGCCTCAGAAACCCAAGGAAGAGTTGCTATGAGTCAGTACAACTCAACGGCACATAACAACAACAAACAATATTAACCTAAATGTTGGTGGTTTGAACTCACCTAGTGGTGCCATGGAATAAAGTCCTGGTGATCAGTTGCCACAAAGATTAAACGAACAAACAAAAAACCCCAAAGCCAAACGCCTGCCGTTTAGTTGCTTCCAACTCGTAGTAACCCTATACAACAGAGTAGAACTTCCCTATAGGGTTTCCAGTGCTGTAATCTTAATGAAAGCCCACATCTTTTTCCTGCAGAGTTGCTGGTGGGTTCAATTTGCTGATATTTTGGTTAGCAGCCAAGTGCTTAAACTGCTGTGTCACCAGCATTCTTCTAGCCAAGAAAACCCTATGGAGTGCAGTTCTAGTCTGTAACAGAAGGGGTTGCCACGAGTCGGAAGTGACTTGACAGCAACGGGTTGTTGATAGGAGCTACATGCGGTGTGACTAGTAAGTGGTAACCATGCAGGGAGTAGACACACCTGCGGATACCAGAATGTGGTTTGGAAGAATAACTCTTAATCTTATAAAATTGTTTGCAGGCCGCTTTGAGAATATTTTAGGTGACAACAGTGTCAATGACCAGACCAAAATCCTTGTGGTAAATGCCGCCTACTTTGTTGGAAAGTGGATGAAGAAATTTCCTGAAGCAGAAACCAAAGAATGCCCTTTCAGGGTCAACAAGGTATGTGGTGCCACAGGCAGCCCCGAAAGGAGACCAGGTGGGGATGTGAAAGTTATGGCAGCAGAGGGGCCAGGGGAATTCACCTCAAAGAAGAAAATGAGACCAGGAGGGAAAGTGTCCGTCTTGGTCAAGCAGCTGTTGGCACTGGTAGAAAAAGAACAATAATCTAGAGACCCTCACTCTTTCCAGACTGTCTTCAAGGGCTGAGCTTATAAGTCACAGCACTTATAACCCGGAGGGTGATGCTAAACCATCACCTGGAAAAAAGCTACAAATAGTTGGGTCTTTAGCAAGAAAAGAAGACAAGCCAACCAAGCCCCAGCACCTGAGGCCTTTGGGTGATCACGACACAGTGACCATTCGGGAACTTTGTTCCTGGCCGATCTGTAGTGTCATTCTCCCACCTAGTAATAGTGAAAGATGCAGTCCTGGTGGTTTGATTTGTAAGGTGCTTTGAGGTGCTTGTTGGCTGTAAAGAAAAAGGTCTAGCTTACTTACTCATCAGCATCACTGGAGTCATGATAGGGTCGAGAATCAGAAGCCTGCTCTGCAGTGCGGTCTCCTTAATACCATTGAGGAAGCTGCTTTCAGTGTCAAAAGTAACAGGTCCAGCTGGGCAAAGGACACCTTCTGTGAGAGGAATCAAAGAGCTGGGACTGGAAAGTTCACCTTTGTCTTAGAGAATCCAGGAAAATTAGGAAATGGTATGGTGATGGGATGTGGTCGCATTTGGTGGGATCTGACTGTATCAGGAAATGACTACCACAGTGAACACACTACCGGAAGGGAGGTCACTCTCCTGTAGCTCCTAGGCCTCATTCTGGTTTTCCGATTTCCTCTGAGCATCTAGAGTGTCTAGCAGCAACCACCTTTATTTTTGCCCAGTTTTGTAATAACCAAAACCAAAAGCTCATTGCTGCTGAGTTAGTTTGACTCATAGTGACCTTATAGACCTTACAAAGTAGAACTGCCCCCTTATAGGGTTTCCAAGGCTATAATTCTTTAAGGAAGCAGACTACTATATCTTTCTCTCACAGAGTGGCTGGTGGGTTCAAAGCACTGACCTTTTGGTTAGCAGCTGAGTGCTTAACCACTGCATCACCAGGGGTCCTTCGCTGGGCCAATGTTGTTATTGTTATGGGCCGTGGAGTCAGACCTGACTCATAGCGACCTCTCCTTGGGTTTCCGAGGCAGTATCACTACGGAAGTAGATTGCCCCATCTTCCTTCCAAGGAGCGGCTGATGGGTTTGAACCGCCAGCCTTCTGGTTAGCAGTCAAGTGCCTCGCTGGGCCAATAGCACCTTCTTAATGCTAGAACCCAGGAGGAAAAGCCCCCCAAGACACAATCTACACCTGGCTTAACTGGACTGGTTTCTATTACTCTATCTTTAGTTTCCATGAAGTTTTTATTCACCCCCTTTCCTTCCCAGTCCCTGAGTCAGAATCAACTTGAGGGCAGTGGGTTTGATTTGGTTTGATTTTTCCTCCCAGTGTGCTTTCCACAGTGGAATCTGATGATCTGTTTACCTAGATGCCTGCCACAAATGGGTGGGCTTTTCCAGGGCAGGGACAATGCCTTACTCATCTCAGCATCTACCATTCCTTGCCCAGTCCCTGACACATTTGCAGGTGCTCAGCAAATGTCTGTTGAAAGAATGATTCATCTCTAAGGGTCAGAGTGATTAATTGTCAATAGCGGATTGTCCATAGTAGCCAAAACCCAATTGGCCTTTGGGACCACCAAGGACCCCTTTACAAGATCCATTGGGCATTTTCCTTGGGACAGCACAGGACATATGATTGTTGTTGTTTTGTGCCGTCGAGTCAGACCCGACTCATAGCGACCCCTCCTTGGGTTTCCGAGGCAGTATCACTACCAAAATAGATTGCCCCATCTTCCTTCCAAGGACTGGCTGGTGGGTTTGAACTGCCAGCCTTCTGGTTAGCAGTCAAGTGCCTTAGGCACTATGCTACCAGAGCTCCCGGACATATGATTAGAACCACTGTTGCTCCTTGTCAATTCAAAATATCCATGGGTCCTAGGGAAGGGGCCACGATGCCCTCCTTCCACTTCCTTGTCCTGAATGAGCTTTAAGGACAGCAGAGGTCTTCTTAAAGCAGCCTGCACCCAGGGGCATGTCTGAGATACCAGAGCCCAAACAGGAGACCCAGTAGACTCTTCAGTCTTTACATACAGATCCTTGAGTCTTGGGCATGACTTTTTGATTTCGTAAGTATTGTGTTTTGTTTGGAGCAGAAATGGAACATGGCTTTACTGTGCATGGGGGAGGAGGTCAGTCACGGGGACCCTGAGCAGTGCCCACTAGGTTTTCCTGTCACCAGGGTCCCTTCCATTCCATTTGGCTGGTGGTTGGCTGTCTTCACCAGACACCTGCCAAGTTTGTTTAGTGTGAAAGGACAGAAAGAAATCCTGGGTGGAGCAAATGGTTGAGCACTGGACCACTAGCTGGACGACTGATGGTTCAAACCCACCCAGGGGTGCTTCAGAAGACAGGCCTGGCCATCTGCTTGGAAAGGTCACAGCCTTGAATACTCTATGAAGCAGTTCAGCTCTGCACACATCAAGTCACCATGACTTGGAATCTGCAGACGTCAGCTAACAACAGTAATAGAAACAAGTACATTCAGAGAAAAATTGCAAACATGTTGCTAATGGTTCATAATTTTTTTAAAAAAACATTTTGTTGTGCTTTATGTTAAAGTTTACATAGCAAATTAGTTTTCGAATCAATATTCCATACACAGGTTTTTCCATGACATTGGTTATAATCCCTGCAATATGTCAGCACTTTTCCTATTTCCTCCCTAGGCTCCCCGTTTCTGTTTGCCCAGTTTCCCCATCCCTCTCTGTCTTCTCATCTTTGGTTTTGGGCACATGTTGCCCTTTTGGGCTTGTACAGTTGATTGTTCGAAGGAGCACATTCTTCATGGGTGTTGGTGTTTGTTTTATAGTCCCATCTATTATTTGGCTGAAAGGTGGTCTCCGGAGATGTCTTCAGTTTCAAGTTAGAAAGTTGTCTCAGGACAATAGATTAGAGGTTTCCTCTCATCTCTTTCAGACGAGTAAGTCTGGTCTTTATTTTACTTTGAATTTTTTTCTACATTTTTTACCTATTCTAACCAGGACCTTCTATTGTGGTTTTGATCAGAGTGGTTGGTAGCAGTAGCTGGGCATCATCTACTTCTTCTGGTCTCAAGTTACTGGGGACAGGTTCATGTGGACCATAGTCCTTTGGACTAACTGTTTCCTTGAGTCTTTGTTTTTCTTTGTACTCCTTTGCTCCAGGTGGAAAGAGACTAATAACTACTCCTTAGATGGCTATTGGAAAGCTTTTAAGACCTTAGAAGCTACTCATAACACTAGGATATTAGAGCTATTATAGAATATTATCTATATGAGCAGCGTTTTACCAGTTAATCTAGATGTCCCCGAGACTGTGGTCCTTCACCTTCAAATCTGGTGGTTCAGTCCTGATTTCTACTTAGATTCTATAACTGTGCCCCCATGTGCTCTATCATATATGAGTATACATGCAACATTTGCAAATGTGTGCACAGAAATGTCTGCCACAATACCTATATATGTCCGTGTGTTTCCATACCAGTGGCCTTGCCTAGTTAGCACACATATTTACCTATGCATCCACTCACAAAGGACTGTTAGTTATTGTGCTGTTGTAGGACTGTATATGCTATGGCATTTGCTGTGGTTATCCTTTCTTCTTGTGCCTCTCAGAGTCTTCCTTTGCCTTGGTCATGTTGGTTCATCATTTTGTACATTTAAGAAAGTGTTAATGGGTGTTTTGGGAGAAGAAAAGAAGAATGTGTTTTATTTCTTTTTTCTTGTTATTAAATCATAAAGCTAGGTCATATCAGATCCTGGAAACTCAGAGTCCATAAATAGAATTTATAAGAATTTGAAATGTCATTGATCTCTCTGTGTTTCACCTTATAAAGCAATAAAATGCTACCCAAGGCTGCTTGGGGATACACACTCTTTTTGAATATAGATTCTATTGCTTTTCCTTCATTTCTTTTGAATTTTCCCTAAGCTTTTGATATGACATTACTAACTCTTTTATCATGTCCTGTGGTGTCTCCATCAAGGATAGACTAAGTTGGTGAAAATATGTTATTAAAAGCTTAGTATGGGGCCTATTCAAACAAAGGTGATAAAAAAACATATATAGATACATATACACACATATGTATACATATAAGTGTGTATATATACAAATGCATATATTTATGTTTATATATTCATTCCATATTTTCTGGGATAATCTATCAGTTGTCAGAGCATATCTCGATTTGTGTTTTGGTAAATGAAACCATTGTACTTGTGTTCAGTGCTGAAAAATGAAACAGATGACAGTTTTTAGAGGCCACAACTATATCCCAATTCAGAAACTTACAATTTAACCTGAAAGAGATTTTTAGATAACTTCCTATCTTCCTTAAGAGAAATAAATGGAATAATTGTCAGTTAATTTCAAAAGCAATATGTTTTTGTGTCATACTTCTGTTTTTGGCTATACATGCATTTGAAGTATTCAGTTATTCATCAACCAAATCTTCAGTGAACACCTGTTATGTGCTGAGATATCAAAATAATACTAGTTTTCTGCTTTGACTGTAGTGTGGTTGGAGTGGTGAATAAATATTTTTAACCATGTGACAAGTGTTAAAATAGACTTAAGTACAAATGGTAAAATAAGTAAGGTCTAGCTCTGCTTGGGAGAGGGGCTGGTAGGGTTCCGCTTACTGTTGGCAGATCCTAGAAAAAGTTATGTCCAATATTATCCCTACAGGACTGGTAGGAAAGTTGAAATCATCTCTAAAAGAAATTCAGTAAACAGGAAGTATCCCATGAGAGTTATATACTGAGATAACCCATTTCACCAAGTTACTATCAGAAATTTAGTTCTTAGTATGAGTAGGGAGCTCTGGTAGCATAGTGCCTGAGGCACTTGACTGCTAACCAGAAGGCTGG